TCCACAAATAAAATCTGTGGGAGTTGGGATGGGGGAAGAGTGTCATCCTGTGTTAAGTGTTTGTTGGTAAATCTCGGATTTGTGTACCAGGGGTGGATCCAGGATTTTAGGAAGGAGGGGGTGCAACCTTTGTGAAAAGGGGTTCGCCCCCAAAAATATTTGTACTCTTTAAATGAATTAATTTCACATATATATGGGTTTTCAGTTCATAAGTTATTAATGTGAGCTTTTGGCGTAGCTGATTGAAATGCGTGCATTTGGCAATATAATAATGTAACTTATCCAGTGCATCTATACAGGCGACCGTACAGTGGCGCCATGCTGCATGGCGCCGCCACTGTATTGCTAACATCATTTTAAGAAAGGCAGCGGTTAGTTTTGGACTTAGATTTTCCGTTTTGGATTTGAGCATTGTAATTTGTATGGCCCGACTCCTGGGCTCGACCAATATATATATTCTAAGAAAAACGAGGGCTTAATTGATCGGGTCCGACTGACTGAAATACTTGTCAGATACAGGCCGAGCGGCAAAACATACCGTTTTTTTAATAAGGCAACTTTTGCAAAAAGAGCACTTTGCGTGGGAAGGGGTGGGGGGTGCGCACCCCCTGCACTCCCCCCTGGATCCGCCCCTGTGTACTATACAACTTTTGCTGATAGGGTCTATGTCCCCCAGGTTACTATCGGAGGATACCCTGGGTACGGTTCGATATATCGGAAAGTACCTCGGGGTACTATACGATATGTCGCTGCATACCCTGCATTGTCCCACAGTACCCTGACTTTCAGCCAACTGATCATGAAAATCATGCAGAACCATATACATATGGTCTTGCAGAAAAATGATAATTTTTAGTGGATGACAACATTTTACGCTTCTCCCCTACTCTGGTGGGTGAGGTATTACCGCCGCAAGGTATTGCCGCCATCACGTGCATATTGAGTTTTTTTAATTTCATTTGATGTCAATATCAAGCAATTTTTATTCATGGTAATGATAGTATTACAATGATAACATTAAACTACGAGGCTACTAGCTTTTATTAATTTTTATAAATTATTCATATTAATTGATGATTCATCAATTAATCTCAATATTTTTGCTGTTTTACAGACTGTGTGTGTGAAAGTCAGGTTACGGTGGGACAATGCAGGGTATGCAGCGACATATCGTATAGTACCCCGAGGTACTTTCTGATATATCGAACTGTACCCAGGGTACCCTCCGATAGTACCCTGGGGGACATAGACCCTATCAGCACAACTTTTGGTTGCTGGCTGAATATTATTCACAACTCAGTTAAATTTAATCTCATCAACCAACCTGTACGTATTTAATGAGAAAGAAAAAACATTGTCATACTTCTCTCTGATCTAACCAAACATAAAATATTGCTCCATCCTATGTGGAGCTCATACCTATTGGGGTAGAACACAAGACAGCGTTGGTGCAGAGGCAGGCAGAGAGATATTCAATCAACACATCTAACAATACCAGCAGTATATACGTGCCACAGACAGATAATAATTCATAATTGTGATGGAGCAATATTTTTATTATAGGCATCTGGTAGTGAGGAGCAATGGATTACTGGACATACTTTTAACCCAGCCAAGAGGGCAAAGTATACACATGACAATTGGAGTGCTATTTCAGGTATCGCAGTAGTAGACATCAGGAGGAGGTCATTCACTAGAAATGTGAGATGATTGACAGCAGTAAAATGATGCCAGTTTTGGTGCTAATATATTTGGAATTATAATACTCCCTGAATATGTTAATTCATTATCTTCTATATAGCTTCACTCCTTACACTAGCAAATTTGTGACTTAGACTAGTGAGTACATCTCTATGTTTCACCAAAAAGTAACTATCATAATATTGTTTTTCTGCCAGTGCAACAATGCATGCGAGCATTACACCATAGATCCTTGATAACCAACTGCCCCTTGTCTGTGTCTGCTGCGACATTCTGTGCACAGAAGCTGGCTGACCTAAGTGAAAATGTGAAACCTGACACTCGACTCACCAATGAACAACAGGTGTGTATTATATACATTGTAAAAGCATCTTGGTCATGACATGACAATGAAACAAATGAATTTTTACCACTGCGGGTGCAATTTCTGATAAAGAGTGCAAGAAACCCCTTTATCACAGGTTCCCGATTTCACGTATCAATTTCTGCTCTGATGTTCTGCGCTATGTTGGTCCATAGGAAGCGATCACGACCATTTCCTCCGTCATCAAACAGTTGACAGGGGAGCAGTCTTTCAGCCGCGACAGCTTCTTATCTCTGCTCACACGCAAGAGGGAGCTAAGCATCCAGGTGTTGTGGCAGCTGCACTGTGAGGGAGTGGTGAAGCTATCCGAGTTCGTCCTCAGTAACATGGGCACGCCTGATGTCATCGCCGGCTACACGGCCGCGCTGGTGGCCGCGTGCGTCGCGTGTAACGAGGGGACGGTGGCCGTGCTGTCAGCGATCCTGCGCGAGTGCATCCGCAGCGCTTTCGGGACTGTCGCTCGCGAGGACGAGCCGAGAAGCCGCGCCGCGAAGGTGTGTCGCGCCATGCTGGACAAGGTCGTCGGCAGACTGCTGGAGGCGATGAGCGCCGGCACGTTAGACGCGCGCTGGTGCTGCCCCCTTGCGGACCTGCACGCGAGCGCGGAGGCCGGCGACGCGAACAGGAGCTTTCGCGCTCACGCCGTCCGTTTCCTGCTGAGCTACAAGTGCCTCGTGAAGCCCTCGGACGCAGTCTCGCGCCAGGAGGAGTGGACGTATGCCAGGTCTCCGCTGCTCCTCACGGCTTTTTACAAGTCCCTGCTGCAGTCGCTCGCTCTCGAGGAGGCGGCAGAGTTACTAGAGGGCGCCGTCAGAAAGCAGGAGGTGAACTGGCAGCGTTTGCTCGCGTTTACGGCGACGCTTCTCGTCCAGTTTCCCCGTGCCGCCGCCTCGCTGCGTGCGATCATCGACGGACTGCTAAAGGAGGCCCTGGAGGGGGGCACGAAGGAGGAGAGCCTGCTCGCAGGGCTGCTGCTCGCGCGACAGGCAAGCCTCGAGGGCCCCCACGTGTTCCCGTCGTACGGCGATTGGTTTTCGACGACCTTCGGGACGCCGCGCTCCCCCGCCGGCACGCGGAAGTCGTTCTCCTTCCTCGTGGGATTCCTCACGAAGCTGGCGCGCCACGAGAGCCCGCGATTCCTCGTCGCGCACGTCACCCGGCTGCCCTACGTGCCGCCCAAGTGTCGCCACCTGCTGTCCGACTACCTGGCCCTCGCGAGGACGAGACTTGACGACATGAACGTTTCGCTCGAGCAAGTGACGATGGTGGGCGAGGGGGGTGCTGGGGTAGCCGGACAGGGGGCGCTTTGCCAGCTTGAGGACAGGGCGAAGCGAGATGTAGAAGGTGCCGTGGCCGTATTCGAGAAGACGCAGAAAGTTCCGTCGACGCTCATGGAACAGAGCATATTTCACAAGCCGTACTACATCGGCAAGTGGTTCATATTCGTTCTTCTTACATTAGTAGAGCATCAAGTACGCCATGGTTCCTTAATTGCGAATGTTGACTGTTTAATTTTATTGTGTAACTTTTTGTTGATTGTGTAAAGTTCTAGGTTTGTACGAGAAATTTTACTTTTCTGTTTCAATCCGTCCTTTGATAGGAAAGTTTTTGCCGATGCTGCTGGAGCCTCGACCATTACCGGATGTCCCTGACACAAAAATGAAGCTAATAGAATCTCTGAGACTATTGGATAAAATTCCAAAACAGCTTTATAGCAGCTATGAAAACGGCTGTCGCAGGGAGATGGAACAGCTACTGGAAGGTACACATGTTGTTCTATAGATGAATATATAATACCATTGCATGCTTCCTGGTTGCAGTCTCCAGAATACTATTCTGACTATATTGTGAATCATGCAATAGAATGTATCTCATCACATGATCAAACATTGTTCACCAGTGCTTGTTGTGTGGCTATAGGTGTGTTTGATAGTGACAGCGATGACATAGCCACCGGGCCACTGGAGAAGCTGGAACAGCACATGGACATGTTAATAAGTGCAGTGCTAGATAGAAGTTTGTCCAAGCCTAAGAAAACAGGTACACATCATTATGTTCAACTACTCTTTTTTTCAGTACCAAAATTGACATATATGCTGTAAGTTTATTGTGTACATTCACTGGCAAATACCAAATGTTTATTTGCATTGTTTTATCTGCATTATTGTAACGTGGTCTTCCATAACCATTGTAGCATCAAACGTCATAATGTCAACCATGTTACATGGCATCAAGGTTGTTGTTTCATGATTCTTGCATTTGCATTCTTTCCTTCCTAGTGTCAGAACAGCTATCTCGGATCTCCGAGTTGTTACACGATGCCACAAAACTTCATGCACCATCAACCACTGACTCAGCTGTAGTGGATAACTCTGCTGCCGGAACTATTATACAGGTTTTAACTTTCTAGCTCAACGTGGAATATTTAAGTATGTAGATGGTTGAATATTACTTTTACATGTTCTAACAACTTAATCTTCCAACAAGTATAGTTATTAATTAGACGAATTTAACAGTGCTGCCTATTTTATTGAATCACCTCACAGGTTGTGGACGTTATCCTGAATAGCTTCTGCAAGATTGAGGCAGCGGTAATGAGCCAGGAGATGTCAGCTGCTAACACAGGTCATGGGCATACTGACAGTCATCACAAGTTGTGGGCATCGCAGTTTGTGTCAGTGCTGGCTGGTATCCCTGAACTACATGCAGTACTGTGCAGACGACTCATGGCTCTGCTGTGCAACGAGGTAGGGTTCACAACATTGCAACTAGCACACTTTAGTATCAGATTGCCTTAGTTAACTACGTGTTCACATGCTGATTGTATATGGTAATTCATTCTGTTTGTAAGTGATGTTTGGATGTTGTAATTTGAATAGCTACTACGAATATGTCGAATTCCTTCTTGCTGTATAAATTCGTGTAAATGGCCTCGTTTTTATCATCCTAATTGCTTTTATCTTGTTATCGACTCTAAACTTAGGAAGACTCTTACCAGACATGTAATAGAAATTTAGTAGGGTGATTGTTCCTGGCTAGTCTACCATGATGCTAGTGCCTAGCTAGTCTACCATGATGCTAGTGCCTTGCTATTCTACAACAGTGCTGCTATATGCTATAAGATAGCAAGGGCTCCAGTCAAGTGTACTTAACTGAAGGGAATACTGTTTAATTCGAACCTTCTTACATGGTCTTTTCCCCAGAGTGACATTCTGGAGGATGAGCACCTGATTGGCTTGTCACTCCTAGTTCTGGAGACGAGCCGATGCGAGACCCGTATCCTAGCACGACTCGACTCGCTCTCTTCAGCCTCCGTACCAATCGTCGATCTGGTGGCGGACCATCTATCGACAAGCACTGGTGCAGCAATGAAGCAGACGCTGAAGTTTTGCACTGCGTTCATAGACAGGGCATTGCTGATCGAAAATCAGACATTGACAACAGTAAAGGGAGAAGCAGGAGCTGCTTACGTTCCTGTTGGATTGGCCACTAAGGTAATACTGGCAGGGTCACCGGAAGGAAGAGAATATATGGATCTATGTTTGAACTGCCACATCAATATTCCTGGTAACAGATAGTAGAACTAACCAGCTATTTGCACTAGGTACCACTAATGAGGGATGGGATCTAGTTGCTCGTGCTATAAGTTTAATGCAACTACTTAAATTAAATCTAACTAATGTTTATCCCGGGTTCTCTTTAACACGAGATGACAAGGATATGTGATTTGTATTGATGTATTTTAACTTGATTTCACTTTGACCAGAGAGGCATCACCACTAGAATCGTTGTGAAATAAACATGAACACCTTGTTTTCATAAGCTTCAACATTTGCTAGTATGCAAAATCTACTATGAAGCATCAAATTTTGTTGTAGTTTCGATACCTAGTACCTAGGTTGTGCCCTGAGACTCGATGGCATGGCATAGCAGGAGCTGCATGTTATGGAAGGGCATGGTCGGAGGAACGATGGAGCAGTGCTGCCACCAGACTCTGGTATCTAACCCCTGTACGCACAGTTCTTGATAGCTGTTTGGTAAGTTTCCCCACCAGACTGATATCTGTCTCCTATATCTTCATTAATGCATACATGCAGATCTGTTATCAGAGCTATTGAATAAAAGTTAAGCTGGACAATAAATTGAATCACCAGATGCTTTATGTGAACCTCATTTACTGTCATAATAGGATTGAACATTCTCAGTAAAAAACTGCATGATAATAATTTTTTTAGAAAGTTTAACACGTGTTTGTATATACTTTGTGGCTGTGTCTACAGATGACGTTTGAGCAGTGGATACAGGTGGAGCTTGCTGTAAAGGCGGACACTGATGCAATCACATATCTGCAGCGCCACAATTACCGACGGTGGGCGGTTCACGCTCTTTTCATACCGGTAGCTGTCAATCTTGGTGGTTGTGGAGGTTGCCACCAGAGGGCATGCACAACAATCCTGCATGCACTGGTGCAGGAAGATGAGCAAAGGTATATATATATATATGTAGATAATTTGTGATTTCACCAGTGCCTGATCTTGCATGTAGCAATTAATGGAAATTTTGTGGCATTTTGATGTGTCTGGTTTTTCTAGGTGTTGCAGTGAAGGATGTACTATATAAATGCAGTTGATTCTTTGGTATATCTTGGATTTTATATTGTCATTGTTATATCCTACTTTCTTATTAGGTCCTATCTTCATTATTTTATTTTATCTTATTATTATTGCATGTTATCGTTCGATTATTCCATCTTCTTTCCCTTATGGGTTTATATCTGTACAGGAATATATGTAAGAAGAATTTATGGATGGCTGCATATCACAGCAATAATAACCCCTGCTCACTTGTGGAGAAACCAACATCGCCAATCTCTAGATGTGAGGTCATTGCTCTTCTACAGGTAAGTGAATCCAGCGCATCACCACCTTCTACTAGTTTGAAAATCATTGTGTGATCGCATGTGAGCTGCTAATGTTATTACCTACACTTCTGTAGCATTCCTTTGAATTGTTTCCCTCTAGGAACTTGTGCTGCTGCTGCCAGTAGATGGTGTACCATGGCTACTGGAACAATCTGCTCTATATTGCGCACATGAGAATGTCATTCAGCCATCAGGGAGGCGAAGTGAGCATTGTGAAAGTGACCAGGCACCAGCACTTACTAGCACTGATGACACTCTGGTAGCACCTTGTAGCCTTGAGCGTGAAGCGATGATGGTAGCATTTGTATGGTGAGTACAAACCATGCAGTAAGAGATAGACAGATCTATGCACTTGTGCATGCACATGTATGCAGTGTGAGACATAGACCGGAGTTGTCACTTTTTGCTCTGGTTCATTATAGAAATTATTTTGTTGCAGCCTGGTGCAAAGTCTTCCTGCATATCTACTCTTCACAAATCAGCCCAACCAGAAAATCCATCCCGATGTTTGTAGAAAAGTCTTAAACCTGATTTTGCACATGGTAAGAATATTAATACCCAATATATAAATATTCTAGAGCCCGAGAATTACGAAAAGCATCTGTGATACAAATGTTTGTATGGTAAGAATAGTCGTATAGCTGCATTTCTCCATTATGATGAATTCCAACTTTGCCTTGATAAATTATCACCACAATTTATGGCTTGTGGAATAAGAATACTCCTGTAAAAGTTCTGTGTGGTCAGTCTTAATCAGTGAGACATTATCGAAACAACTGCTTTTCACAACTTTTTTTTTCACAGAAACGAGATTTCCAGGGTGTGTGTGGCCTTGAGTATGATGTGACAACATATTTATGCAAGGTATGTGAACGCTGTTAAATGATGTTTTAAATACTGTCATTATTACCTAGTGATAATGAATGTTAAAAACTTATTTGTTGTACATATTTGTTTGTTTAGGGCATTGTCATGGCAGCAGGTACCTGTGGTACAGAGACAGAGTTAGTGTTGATGAGGATGCTTCAGGACTCCAACTTGCTTACAGCCTCCATGTTGGTATGTATTATATCTCTCTATACTTTAATGGAAATAACATACCACAGTAATATACATCACGTGTGTTGATGGCAGTGTGTGAGGCATTTTATGTAAACTAATATTTGAAGTAAAATTGTTGAATTTAAGAATTAATTTAAATGACACCTTATTTTATAGTGTATATATAAGCCTCTAATCATTATAACAGTTCTTATTCAGTTTTAATCACCACTAACCTGTAATGACAACTGCAATAAACACGTTCTGTTTCAGTTCCACTGGCCAACTCTATGGATAACACTGTCACAACTGTGTCAATGCTACAAAACAAACAAGTTGAAGTCTGTCTTCTCAAACATGAATTGCATTTACACAGATGTTAACCAGTAAGTTATCTGCACCTGTAATGAATTTAAAAACCATTTTTCTTTCTTCATTGATCTTTGTCACCACTCTCCTTATCATTTTCATGCCCAACATATACACTGCTCTCTATCTTTCTCTCTTGCTACCCATCTCTCGCTGTCTCTCTCTTTCGCTTGCTCTCTGTCTCTCACTCTCTTGCTCTGGTTGCCTTCTATACGACCTCTCTCTCTCTCTCTCTCTCTCTCTCTCTCTCTCTCTCTCACTCACTCTACTTCCTACTCTCGTCTCGTCTCCTCTCTCCTTCTCCTTCTCTTTCCATCTCCTTGTCTCCCTCTCTCTCTCTCTCTCTCTCTCTCTCTCTCTCTCTGCCTTTTCTATCTCTGCCCCCTCCCCCTCTTTTTCTTTCTATGTACATGTGCCTCTCAGCTTTGTTCTATCTGCTTTCTCATCCCACACAACTAAATGACTAATTTATTACATGAATCTTGTTTGCCCATTCACTCTATCTCTCTATTTTCTCGTTGTGGTTCCTTTTCAAGTTGATTTCTCAATATGTACATTGTGAGTACAAACTAATATTGTGTGAAAACTGACATTTCAGGCTGGTTGACATCCATGGCGTAGTCTCATCCTTGACAGGGGAGCCATGGATGGTCGCTATGTGCCTATACTCGTGCTGCTACCACGACGTTAACAAGCGTTTGCAGTCTTTAAAGCCGGATTGTGTAGAGGTACGTATTATCATTACCTGTACTTACTGTTATGGCCCTTTGAGTATATTTATGCTACATTGCATTGTGTTGGCGATTGCCGTTTCCGGCTGGTTGTAATACTTCTCTGGCACAACATAAATCATAACACTTGCAATTCTATTTGACTAGCCAAAAGATTACATAAATGTAGTAAGCATATATATGTTTTGGTACGTTTCAGGTAGTGCAATGGCTTTTAGTTTGCATTTCAACAGACTATGTGCAACTTGTCTCTTCTAACAGCAGAGAGGTTAGTTCATTGTGTAATTCTTTGCATGCTACGTGCTAGATGATAGAGATGTAGAGAATTGTATTTTTCATAAATCGTGAGGGGCCTTTCTTAGAAACATCGTTAAATTATAAGTAAAGTTCAATGGTCTACAAGAAAAATTTAATGTTGTGAATAATGTTAATTAGAATAAAATGTTTTTGACAATGGCCACTAGAATGTGTGGTTATCATCTATATATTCATGTGTGCATTCTAAGATGTAATTTACTTTGGTTGAGCATTTAAGTATGATGTATACGCAAATTTTATTTCGTAGAACGATATTAAGTCTTACAATCATGTATGGTATTAGCTTGCACTCTAAAGAAAAATGCATTTTTGCATCTCTACATAATGAGTAACTGCATACACCTGGTGCACGTTCGTTTAGGGCTTGAAGCTTTCAGTGTTGCTTCTATCAATGTGTCCAGAGGCGGTGTGCGTATTTGACAAACGAAGCCAGCCAAATCGTATCCAGGAGGAGATTCTATCTGAGCTGCAGGTTCAGTTATTATCCTCATCATTCTTCAGGTTTGTCTAGTTTCTAGTAGAGGGAATCTCCCTCGTTAAGAACATGATATTTCTTTAAAAAAAACTTTATTGAAGAAAATTGCGCTTTTCACCTTTTCCAAAGTGGAACCTCAGTGAACTTAATTAGTTAAACGTTGTTTGGTTCATGTGTACAGTGGGGATTCGTAGTTTGCATTCAGGAATATTAAAAATCGTATTTCAATGTCATGTGTAAGTCTGAATGCACTTTAATCAAGCGTTTCAACTCGAAGATTTCCTATATTTAATAATGTCAAAGGACACATGGAGAGTTACACGTTGCATACGTGGATATCTGTAAATGAACTAGTAGGAAGGCTTTAAAGAATGTTACCTGTAGCAGACACCTTTGTATCATACTAGCATATTACATCGAGCTTTCCATATTGCTGTCATTGTAGGATACTCATTACCGTGCAGAGCGAGGGGTTTTTGGGGTCAGTGCAGACTGTGCGTGGCTTCCTGTGTATTCTCCTGGACAATCATAGAGATCTATGTCAGCTGCTTACTCACAGCCAGCCCAGCAGCGACTACTCGTGGCTCAGCTATCACCAGGTAAAGCCAGTGTTTCAGTCCAGCAGTGAAAGCCGTGACGTTACGTGTACACTGCTGGTTTTTGTGTGCGTTCATTTTAGCAGATGTTGGCATTGGCAACTGATTTTCAGTTATGATGACGGACTTTAAGATAGATGCATTAAAGACTCGCATACACGTGCATGCTCCTATGTGACTTGTAAAGCAGGTGCTTTAACATTTCTGACTAATCACAAGGCAACATTTTCCTTTAAATTCCACCCCTGTGTCGAAGTCCAATTAAGTGACTGGTATGGTACAAACGTGTAGCTAGGGGTCACTGGTCCATTCGTGCGTAGTCTCTATGATTGTCAGGCGTGCAGTAATGGAATTGTCTGTTCTTAAGGTCGTCAGTATGGAATCTGTGCTCCAGGCATCGAGACTAGTTATGCAGTGCCTTCGTGACGCATCCCACGATGCTCTGCTCCAACTCTCTGAACAGGGAATCTCTACAGAAGGTATCGTGGATTGTGTCATGTCCTTACAAACTTTACAGCTATTTACATACATTCACATCAATATGAATGAGAAGCAGTACTCTGTATAATTTTTCACGTTGACATTTTGTAACTACTTTATTTTATTTCATTAAAAAATTTATTTTACAGATGAAGAGATAAACTGTTTTATAAAGTCCAGATTACAGAAGTAGCGTATGACGTCTGTTGCGCATATATGTAGCAAGAATAGCAAGTGCAATTACTACAGCCAAAGGTATGACTTTTTCCATATTTTCATCCACATGACAAAAAGGGCCTCACCAGTCTACGTGCGTGTAGCGTTAGCCATCCTGCTAATTGTCAACTATCTGTAATATACAAACATATTTCGTAGTTACGCGCATAGATGTCCGAAATTTTCCACTTTATTTGATATCATAATATATACTACATGCTCCAAATTGTCATGAACTGAGCAGAGAAGAGGGGTGAGCAGCCATAAAAACCATGAAATCTTGTGTTAGGAGATTCGAAATTATAGGGACAAATCGAGGAATATGCTGTATATAATATCTAGCATATTTAGTACCTAGTATATATAATTTAGTTGTGGTCCTGTCTTGCGACCTTAGCGGATGATTTACGTGAAATATACAAAACTATCTGTGATTATAGTGATATTAGTAATAAATCTGTAAACAGTTGTGCAAAATGTATTTAATGTTATTGGTATTGATGTGTAATGTTTCGATTGACGGTTTTGGCAGTGCCACTTATGGTATCCCGTCTCACCATTAATTTTGCACACGTTTGTTTTGTCTGCGGAATGGTAATACATGCTCAAAACAACCCGGTATTAGTGTTTTGTAGCGTGTTTGGTACGTGCGTGGTGCCTATGATGAATTTGTAGTTGTATGTCAGTAGGACAGGGGCATGCAGTGAAGGGGGGGGGGTGTGCTCGTGCTCTGCAGAACATGATTCGTACAGATTAGATTACTTGCACGTGCTGTCCCGCTGAATGAAGCTTAATTGGAAGCAGTAGAGCAAAGAAGGTGAGAGAAGAAGCAGCAAGAAACCCAGCGCATGCAATTTTTATTCCCGGTATAGGATACGAAGTTCCTATAAGGAACAACAGAGTACGTAGTACAGGCACGACTCTATCACCAAGGCGGCAAACACACAACGTCGCTTTCCGCGGCAGCGTTGCCAGGCACTACTTTGCGCGGTGCGGCGGCTACCGTGCGTGATACGGCTGTGGTGCTGCAGCTGCAGCAGCAGCAGCGTCAGCAGCAACAGTTGCCTCAGTGCGAGGCGTGTCGGAGTGTACCGACGACGGAGCGTGTTGTTCACGATGCGAGTGAGGTGCGATCTGTGCTGCGTGGTGCTGCTGCTGCTGCTGCCGCTTCTGGCTCGGGCCTGTCCGGACAGGTGTCTATGCTTCAGCACGACCGTGCGCTGCATGTTCCTGCAGTTCGATGAGATTCCCGACGACGTGCCGGATTCGACGACGATTCTGTGAGTTTGCCGTCGGCGTTAACTGGGTTCAAGGATAGAGATTAACATGGGTCCCAATAAAACCAATGTCATTTACATCAATATAAATATAATATTATATCAACATAACAGGTTAGGGTTAGGATTAGGGTTAGGGTTAGAATTAGGGTTAGGGTTAGGGTTAGAATTAGGGTTAGGGTTAGGGTTAGGCACATTGGTTTTATTGGGACCCATGTTCTCTATCCTTGGGCCGTTAACTGCGATATCTGCTGTTATTCGTCACCACCTCATCGGGAATTAAGATATGCTCGATTATTGCGTAATTTGCAGATAGAAATTTGGACGAAATTCGTTTTGCTTCGGCATAGAATATCGAATGTTCATAATGTCGCTTTTCGTCTAGTCTCTGCTGCTTTGATCATCTTCTCTTCCTGCATCCATTTTGGTCATGCTCCTCATGTTCCTCTCGTACTCTTTCTTGCTTCCCCCTCACGTCTTTACTTTTTCATCATATTACCTACCTTTTTACTGATATATTTTCACCTCCTCCTATTCGCGTACTCCTCTCATCATCGTTCACCTTCTATCTTTCTCAGCTCCTTATTATCTATATATCGATCCCCTGCCCGTTCGCACCCACCTCCTTGTTGTGTACCTCCTTGTACCGTGCTTGCTTGTCTGGATTCTTACCCCCCTGTATCTGTGTTTTTGCCCGCGTGGCTGCGTCTGTGAGCAGTAACTGCTCTTCCCGCCTTCATTTCTCTGCATTCCTCCGCAGCCACTAGCTTCCCCTCCTCCCTCCGCGCTCGTTTATTGCGTGCCGCGTTTGTTGGTTTTATCTCCAAAGCGCAATCGACGGCTTAGCAGTTTAAAAGGTTGTATGGGGAGATCAGGTGATCTAGGCGGGGTTATCTAGGGTTCGAGGCGGGAGGGGGAGGTGGGGGCAGCCATCAAATCGGGCTGTTACCCGGCAAGACGCTGTTCGCGGACGCGTGAGTGCTTTCTTTCTTGCGCGCACAAAAGCGGCAAGTGTCCAATTCGCTTTTGAGCTGATTGACACATCACAGACCAGTGGCATGTCAGCGCCGGTCAAATGCACACGCGCGGATGCTGCTCCATTGACGCGTCTATTGTCCGATCGTACAGCCGGGCACGAGATTTGCTACGGGGGACTGCCTGGTGCAGCTGACGGCGGTGTCAAAAGCCTCTCCTTTGACTGAACAAATACATGGTTACGACGCACAGACGAGTGTAATCTAGTCGAGTATTTAGAAAAGAAGAAGCACATGAGTCGTGAGGGAAATGCAGACGGGTGTAAGATACGCGGAGCTATAGTGAACGCCAAATAATGCCCGGAATTCTTTGAAAGATGCGAAAACGCGCGAGTGACGTTGGATATAGCGAGAAATGTTGCTCTATTCTATGTTGCTATAGAAATAATGCTAGATGTGTGGAAATTAAATGAAAAGTTTAACGACGTGACATACTGTAAAACATCTAAACATAAAAAATAAGTGTTCTGAAAATGGAAAGACACGTGTAAACAAATCCGCGCATCCTGCGACATAGTAGGCCTATGTGCGCATGCCGCTCGACTTTGCAGACCAAAATCTGCAGCGCACGATAAAAACGATACCGTGTGTATTACCAGTGAAGCTGGCCTGCTCGGTACGTAGCCAGGGTGCTATACCGATCACCTATTTTTTCATGTGGTTTGTTTTGGCTACGAACGGGTGTGTGTTATTGATCTGGCCGAGCGAAAAGAAACACTTGCGCACGCACACACACGCGCGCGCGCATGCCTACTTACGTGTGCGCGCGTTCACGCACGCATGCTGGTGTAGGTAGAGTCAGCTAGTTTAGTGGCACTAGTTTATGCTGACAGAAAGCTTTTGGGCAAGTATATTAGGTGTGCAACACATGCCTAACGGAAGGGCGGTTGCGTCGCAGCGGCGCGGCAGCGTTACGTGACCGCTTGGCGGGCATGTGTGAACGCATGTATGTAGATATGCGTACCAAAAACAGCGGGGTGGGAAACGTCTACGTGCTCAGACATCATAAGAGTTACAGAGCCATAAAACTGCCACAAGCTTCCTGATGCGTAATAGTACGCTTCAGGACACACGCGTATAATTCGATGATCCTGTACGGTATCGGATTTCCTATACAACACTAGTTGCGTGACGTAAGAGGGTTTCGTGACATAATGCGGTGAATTATTCGCCAAAGCAAATTGACAATGCCTAATAATGACAGCTCAGAAACAGTCTGTGCTCAGGGCACACAGCGGATACTCTACCACATTTCAACTGGGCCGACTGTAGCACTACTTCCCTCTGTGTGCGTGCGTGCGTGGGAGGGTGCGTGAGTCTGTCTCTCGCTCTCTCTCTCTCTC